TTGCTAAAATAAGCATTTTCAAGCATTTTAGATCGTTGAAATCGTTCAAATGACGTAAACCTTAATAAAACGATTCGTAAAGTTGTAGTGCGTTTTATGCTGTTTTACGCGTTAAAACGCAGGTTAAAGCTCAAAACGTGCTGTTTTGCTAAAATAAGCATTTTCAAGCATTTTAGATCGTTGAAATCGATCAAATAGACGCAATAAAATAAAAAACGAATAATAAAAAATTTCGTCGTCGATTTTATGCTGTTTTACGCGCTAAAACGCAGATTAAAGCTCAAAACGTGCTGTTTTGCTAAAATAAGCATTTTCAAGCATTTTAGATCGTTGAAATCGTTCAAATAGAAGCAATAAAAAACGAATAATAAAAAATTTAAGTCATTTTATTAACTTTGTTTGCGTTGAAACGCCGATTTAAAACAAAACGTGCTGTTTTTGTAAAATAAAAGCATTTTTCAAAGCACATTTTGGGTGGGGCGAAGTCGTTCGGCGCAATATTAATAAAAACGAGCCAAATAATAATTTCGTCGTTTTATGCTGACTGCGCGTTAAACGCAGAATAAAGCTCAAAACGTGCTGTTTTGCTAAAATAAGCATTTTCAAGCATTTAGATGTTTGCGTCGTTCAAATAGACCGGCCGTATTAATAAAACGAATAATAAAAATTTCGTCGTTTTATGCTGTTTTACGCGTTAAAACGCAGATTAAAGCTCAAAACGTGTTGTTTTGCTAAAATAAGCATTTTCAAGCATTTTAGATCGTTGAAATCGTTCCGGCGAAGCGTATTGTAAAAAGGCAGATATGTAAAATTTAATGGGTTTTGTACTGTTTTGCGCGTTAAAGGCTTTCCAGATTAAAGCAAAGCGTGCTGCGTGCGTGAGATTCATCATTTTATGCTGTTTTGCGCGTTAAACGCTGATTAAACAAACGTGAATTTTTGTTGAACATTAGCCCAGCACAAATGGAGCGTTTATTAACGCCATAAAGCAGCAATACAAAAACAGGCCAGCATCATTGCTGTCGCCTTATAAAACAATTATTGATGGGCTGCAATAATATTATACGTGAACATTCAACGATACGAAAGCATTTTAACAAAACGCGTTTAACAATCTGCGTTTATTGTGCAATAGCACGCTGAACGCCAGCGATATGACAAAACAAATATTCAAATTCTTTATAATTTTCATGTATAATTTGTGAGTTCCTCTCTCTCGAAACCTACAAAAAACCAACTTATAGATATTTAAATTCTTTTAATTTTTCATGTGTATAACTTGTGGGTTTATCTCTCGGAAAATCTATAAAAATGCTTTTTGTGTTTACATTTGGTCGACTAATTTTTGTGGTTTTTTGTTTTATGCGAACGCAATGTTGTGGGAACCGCCGTACTTGCACACTGAGAAAATTGTGATTGCCTTGAATGAGAGTCCTCCTACCGCTAAGTTCGCACGGTGCTCTAAATGGGGAGTCTTTTATGAATCCTGTAAGAATAATTCATTGAATTTATGTATATTTATATTTCATTTACATAAATATTTTCCAGTTGGATGAAGCATTGCTCTATTCCTAGATGCACTAAGTTTATCAATAAGGAGCAAGTGGAGAGGTTCCGTGGTACTGGTGGACTGCGTATTGAGGATGATTCTGATTACTGAAGATGGATGTGTCAACTGGAATGAAATACCAGAACGTATGTTATATTTTGGCAATTTATAATATTTTATGTTTTACTATTCTGTTATTCATTCTGAGACATAGTGTCCAAGTGAAGATTGGATTGCCGGTGTTGATGATGATTCAAATACGATTGAATTTACAACATTTTGAAGCTGATGTGATATCATTTTTTATATGTATTTGTTAAAGAGTATGAAAGATCATTATATAATTGCATATTATTATCCACACCTGTTTTCATGCTTGTATTGTCAAAATGCTGTAAATATTAAGAAATTGAATTTGTGATTCTACATGTTTAAATAAAATTGTTGTTTTTATATATTTAACTATAAATTTTTATTGTTTATTTGTTCCAAACGGAGAGCATTGCTCTCACAACATCGTTACTCTTTAATTAATCCATAAATCCATGTAAACATTGATGGAAATGCCTGCTAGATATGAAAATAGTTCAAAAATCAATTTTATATTGTATCAATATTAATTTAAAAACAGTATCACTAGTGTCATCTATCCACGATAACTAAACTACGCCGCTATTTCAAAGAGATTTAGCCTACTGCACTTTCTGCGATCTAATATTCAAATGAATTTTGTTGCCAATTTATTGGTTTCTCGACAAAATTTGTCCGAAATTTTAACTGAAAATATTGCTGCTCATCAGTCTGGCAAAATGGTGCAAGTAGTATATGAATAGTTCCACTTTAGTTTATTATATATATTATTTCAGTTTGTTTCCGGTACATTTCAATTTTTCTATAAAGTGCAAATAGGGCCTAAGCATTTAATGCTAGCAAAAATACCAAAATAATTGATGTAGGAGTCATTGTCTATCAAATTCAGAAATCTTAATTTAAAATTCCAGCTTTTTAATTTCGACCATAAAAAAGAGAAATCTTTTTGCCATTTTAATAAAATCTTTTTCTTTAAAAATTTTTGTGCCATTTGATGATTTTTTCAATAATGATGCCACCTTGTAGAAATTTTTAAGGATCAAGATTATGTAGTTCTTAATTTTCTAGCCCTCTTAGTTGCCGACTCCTTCAGAATTCGAAAAGCCGAATTTGCTGAATAAAGATTTTTGGCTTCATTTTACCCGCCATTACTAGTTACCGCCTCTTTTATGTACATACCTCCTGAGTCTTTCTGCGATCCGAATGCAAAACGAGGTTTCGACCGTTTCCAGTCCAAATTTTGTGTCATTTTTGCCTCCCAAGTCGACAAAATAAAGATTGAATATTAGGATCGCAGAAAGTTGAGAAAAACTGATAAAGTTTCGGCGGTAACTGGTATGGTCTTTACCTCTAGTGGCGACGGACCGAAGCTCAAAACTTTCGGTTGGTTTCTAATTGATAGATATGGCGGTAGCGTGCACTTTCAAAATAAATGGTTTTAAGGGATCGTTAAATATGTGATCAGGTAGAAATAAGAAAATAATTATAATTTTAAAACTTAAAATATTCTTTTATTAAAGAAAACACACAGCATATATTTTTGGAGTCAATTTGTGTAATAATCACAAAAGTTATTTAGATAATAATAAGAAAAAATAATATTCATAATGTAATCCAGGAATGGTCAGCTATACTAATGTCAGACTCGGATGCAAAATCCTAAAACAAGCAAAAATTAGTCGGTACCGAACATAAAATGCAAATTTGGAATTCAATTTGTGAATTATCACAAAAGTTTTAAGGAAAATGATAAAGAAATTAATTTACTTACAATCTGATGCAAGAATGGTCCTCCTACGTTTTCGAACTCAGGTGCAAAATCCCTAAACCATCAAAAATTAGTCGTTCGGTCAGAAAAAAGGCAATTTAAGGATCAATTGTAAGTTATCACAAAAGTTTATAAGGAAAATAGTAAAAGTGGTAAAACTGAAATCTGATGCAAGAATGGTCCTTCTACGTTTTCAGACTCGGGTCCAAATACTAAAACCATAAAAATTAGTCCCTCGTACATAAAATGCAATTTTTTCCAGGGTCAATTTGTGAATTATCACAAAAAGTTATTTAGGAAAATGATAAAGAAATTAATTACTTACAATCTGATGTAAAATGGTCCTCCTACGATGTCAGACTCAGGTTCAAAATCCTAAAACAAATAAAGTAGTCAGTCTACTTCATAAGAAAAATGCAAATTTGGGGTCAATTTATTTGAGATAATCACAAAAGTAATATAAGAAAAAGATAAAGAAATTAAATACCCACAATCTGATGCAAGAATAGTCCTTCTACGTTGTCGAACTCGATTAGCCAAAGTCCCTAAAACCAGCAAAAATTAGTCCCTTCAATTTACAAAATACTCACAATTTTGGGAGGTTAATTTACAGATAATAGCAAATTTATTTAGGAAAATGATAAGAACTTTATACTTACAATCTGATGCACGAATGATCCTTATCTGAGGTCAGACTCAGGTGCAAAATCCCCTAAAAGCAGCAAAAAACTAGTCATTAAACATAAAAATACAATTTTGGGGGTCAATTTGCGAGACATTAACAAAATTTATTTAGGAAAATGATAAAGAGAGTATAATATCTTGATCTGGTACAGAGTGTCTCCTACGATTTCAAACTCAGATGCAAAATCCCTAATACAAGTCAAAATTAGTCGCATATAAAACACAAAGATATTTGAATTAATTTGATAGGATATTAGGTTTGATCAATCAAGTAATACTTACAGTTAACTTTTTGAAGACAATATCTTGTCCCACACCGCATCATTGAATCATCCCCGATCTTCTTTATATCTTCGATACACTCCCACATAATGCTTTTATATTTCAGCAATAATAATCGAACTGAGGTTAGGATGCGATTAGGATGCAACAACGAAGTATAGATGATGCAATGTTGGATGCGTTGGATACTGAACCTTGGATTAACCACATTTGATTGTTTTTCAATGGGAATGCCATCCTGAAAGGGAATTCTTCAAGGATCACGAAATATTATGTTCTTTCTTTTGTAGCCCTCTTATTTGTCGAAATAATTACTATTTATTCTTGAAATTAGGCTATTCCGACTGAATTTTGAAAATTTAAAAGTTTGAATTTTAAAATTCAAAATAAATGAATGTGGTTCAGAAGATATAGAGTGTTTACCACAGCACAAATTTAAGTTTTTTTGAAATGTACTTGTGCTTACCAACACAAAAATGACATGTATTTGAAAGGCCTAATGATTTGCATAAAATTGCAATGCTTACATTAAAAACTTTTTACTGTTCTTCGCTTCTTGTCTGTTTTTAATAAATACCTGTCTTCAAGTCCTAAAAGCATTCAATAGCCCTTTGCTAGACGTACAATCAGTTGCCTATAGTCACCCATAGTAATTTTGTCAAAAAAGCTCAGTTGATGATTACATTACATGATTACATGCAAGTAAATACATAAATCTAGTGCGGCTTTATAACATATCTTAAACATAAGTACAATATATACATAACAGTATTTACACTTTACATACCGCTAAAATATTAGAAATATCCCTGATTAAAAATGTCTGCAGACAGTGATTTAGACATCAAAGTTAAAAAATGTAAGTACATGCATATAAACAAAGGGCGTAATTATGAATGCAACCACATTATATTACCCTTATTTACAGCAACTGAAAGAATTTCTGAAAACATGCATATTGTGGCTAATGAACCATCTTTGGCATTCTATAGACTACAAGAACATGTTCGCAAGGCACTCAATCCAATGGTAGACAGAAAAATGGAAGTGCAAAAGTTGCATACTGAACTAGTTGGTAGAATCTATGACATGGAATATGCCATCAGGTATTACACATTATAAATCTTCTTTACTATACCCTAACTAAATAGCTTCTTTCTCTGCTTTGAGCTTTTTTCTTTTTACAATTTAAAGCATTTTGTGTATTTTAGTGCTGTTAAATCAATTGAGGAAATGGAGAAGACATACAAGAGCATTCAAGACAACCTCAAGAGTTGTATCTTCCTCAGACAACAATTAAAATACGAGGAATCTCGCAAGAAAAAACCTGAAACCAACTCAATGTACAAGAGGCTCTCAGCCCACATCACCATTGACTTGCCAGAGATCACCTCTGACATGGCAGATGTAATGCGTGAGACCGCCAATCGCGTCGAGCACATCATCTCTAAATCGACACATACCAACAGCAACAATCAATAGGCTAAGAATAGCTTAACGCCCTTTTAATTAATTTAATTCTAAGTTCCATGCTGTGATTTTATGTTAATATGGTAGTATACCTTATAAACGCGTTTCAAGCTTACGAATATAGCCATCTATAATCTAAAAACGTAACTTACCGGTTACATTTCTCTACTTGTAGGTTGGCAGCGCTGGTTTTCAAAAACCCTACACCAACTGAACTCCCCAGACGCTATATGTTTGTGTCTGTCGTTGGTTTACGCTTCGAGTCGCGCTGTCGAGAGTAAAATCCCGTCGTTGCGGCCACGAAAAGATGATCTAACGCGTGTGCTCTCGCAAATCAATCGGGCGCGAGTGTGTTAATCAGCGCCAAGGGTTGTGATTCACCAAAGGGACCTCACGGCCGGCGCGCATCCGTAAGTGGTTGTTGCTGCATCCATACGCGTTCGTGCGTGTTTGACAGTAGACATACATTAAATCATCTGTGCCCAGGCAGGTGGCGGGGGTGTGCATGTGCATTACTTTAATTACTTTATTTGTACCACTTTATCCTGTATTGAATTAACAACCCTCTTAACGTTCAACCTTGAACACACTTCCTTTGCTGTTGTATGTAGTACATGTTTGTATCACTCTGTAAGAAAAACAAAAGTTGTTTGATCACCACTTATTTCTGGTTTTATTTGCATGCTACACATCTATTTGAATATTGCATCCGTGAGTTTAGAATCACACATCACACGGCTTTGATTAAAAGCGTATATAATATATGTGGGACGTGTGCGTCTATGATCTGGTTCAGACGTAGCGCAGATGTTTCGCTTGTTTGCTCGCGTTTTATCTCTACAATAAACGCTCCAATCAATATTATTGTTTGCTTTCTGGCGTGCGCGTCGATTTCAGCACTTTGATAACGCAACGCAACTGATTCAATAATAGTGTAGATAATACGCAATTGGATAGATAAGAAATGTTCACTTTATTTTCATCTGCTATTTATCCGCGTAATTGCAACATATTTTAAGGTTAGTTCAATTTCCTATGTTAAAAAGACATTTTACGCACTAGTGTGTAAAATATATCTTTATTTACACACAGAATTCATAACAGGCGCAGTATTTTTATTTGCGTGCACATTAGCGCGTATAATTTACTCGAGCATAAATATTTGCCTCCATGGCTATGATGGAGGCGGCATGCGACGTTCAGAACAAGCGAATTATTCGAGTAGACAAACAGGATTACGCTTCGGCCGCTTTAAGCGATAAAACTTTCCAAAGGATATAGTCGGCCGCCGCCACCTCCACCATCGTCGCCCGAAAATCGCAACGCAAATACGCGCACATTCTGACAGCAAACTTTTAATGAATTAAATTTAAATTAACACGAAAGACAAACGCGCGACAATGGATTCAATTTCGGGGCATATTTAATATGCAAACACAAATATATGTAAAAGGATTTTGCCGGGGCGGGCGGAAATGAATGTTAAATCCGCATGTCCGACCGGAAATTAGTAGTCTATTGGTGTGACTTCCGGTTCACACCATATTCATATCTCTTGGGGAATAATAAACACAGATTTTTAATAAAATTTGCTGTTTGAGGTTAAAATAATAGCAAATAATGAAATGAAGACCGAAATCTTGTTAGGAAAGTTTGTTTTGTACGAAATTTCACCGTGAGTAAACAAAACTCGAAAGAAACTCGAAACTGTGAAAGAAAAACAGTCGGCAAAAAAAAACCCACGCTGTAATTAATTAATAAATTGTGATCTAATAATTTTTTTGCATGCATTAATTTTTAATTAAAAGAAGAATTCAATTCGTAATCGATTACTGAAAGAATTATGATTTTATCGCGATGCGTTTATGCGTAATTAATTAATAACTTGAATTTCGCTCGCGAATTGCTCATTTTTTATCGGGATTAGCCCCGAATTTCATCATGGCCCCATTAAAAAGCAGGTACGCTTTGCCAAATATGCAAAATTGAAGTAAATTTCACGCTCGATATTAGCGTGGCCCTTTTAATCAATTAATCCGGCTGGCTTGGGGATTTAATTCTGTTTGTGCACATATTCTACGCCGCTCGAGGTCGCCGGTGGTGAAATGGAACGGATTAAAAGAGTGCACACGCTCGCATGGTCACCATATCTCATATTTCATCCATTTCCATTCCGAAATCCACCCCCAATTTTTGGGGGATTTTCGTTTTCTGGGGGCGCGCGCAACGCGTCGTCGGGCTTCGGCTTCATTAAAAGTCCCCTCAGCTCGCTCCTCGGCAGGACACGAAACGAGTTCACCACCACCGACGGCGGGGGCGCTCAATAATTTTGCCGACGGGCAGGCAGGCGCGCGCCGCGCATGCGCCCGTTTCAAACCTGTTCCTCTCCGGCCACTGCCAGGCCACGACACGGGGAAAATCCTTGCGGGAAATACTATCCGTGTGTGTCGGGTTCGCGAGCGCAAACAGGTCTGGCTGTTATCCTGTGGGTGCCACGCAAAGGATTTTACCGTTTCACCAAAAAAAGTAAAAAATCGTGTTTCGTGCGGCAGCTGTATAACGTGTGAAATAGTTGAATAGTTAATATTGATTTTACACCACGACGTCGACTCCGGCGGCGGTGGTGGCGGCGCCGTTGGCCTGCCAGTCGGGCATGAAGTGTGTGTTGCAGTGAATCGAAAACGAGTGACTTGGATTTTACGTCTTTAAATGATTTCGCCCTGTATGTAACATATTCTCCAATTATTCCACTTGACCAACACGACAGCACTCTAATTATCATTGTGTTTGATTGATTGCTTGTTTGATATTTTTTTATTGATTTTGCAAAATCCATTCTGTCAAAATCACATCTCCAATGATGATTCATCGCAATGGGTGCGCTAATGAGCCAACATGCACTTCAATCACTTGTCGTTAGTCATGTCCTCGTCCTCGTGTGGTTTGATGAGTGCACCAATGCCCGGAAGCTAAATAAGATGGCCGATTGTTTGTGTTGGTCCTGACGTCATTTTCTTGCACTATAATTAATTCCACCAACGTTGCATTTTTTTTCTTTCATTTCATTTCATTCCCTGCGCCTCCACCAATTCTACATGATCTCATATACAAAACTAGTACCTATTTCCGGTTGTGTATAATATATGTCCTTATGTTGTTGTAGATGCGTTGCCGCATTGCAATGCTCGTCCGATGGAAAAAGTAATTGTGCAGCAGCCCGCGCGCGATGACTAGCTTGACGTTGGCGTTAGATAATGCTGTTACAGAGAGCACTGAGCAGATCAGCAAGCTGTTCCCCAAGTGTCGGCCGCGCGGCGCCGACATTAACCTCAATCCGCTCTTGGGCCGTGAGCATGCTGAGCGCAACGACAACCATCGCCATTCGCACGCCGCCGCCGTCATGAACGTCGACGCCAGGGATAGGGATAATGATAGGTATTTCCTGCACGTGTCTCTTACCCTTCATTCATTCACTCACTATCTGTATGCGTGTGCGTTTACGTGTGTGTGCTTGTCACCATTTTCGAAAGTGACCATTTGCCGGAAAACCGGAAATGCGCCACCAGTGATTCAACGTGTGTGTGCGCTGCTAAGATGCTTTTGTTTTGGTGTGTCGTGTGTTCAGATGGGTCATGGATGGTTCCTATGCGGACAATCGAGATAACGGAAGCCAAGTGCATTCTACCGACGACGACGACATAATCGACCACGAGCATATCGGAGGAACGTACAAGTTACGTGACTCTAGGTACACACACTCCAACACACACTGTCACAGAATAAAAAACACCGGAATTGCTATCTTCTGTCTATCTCTTCACTGTATCTTCAATTTCACAGCATGGAAATTTACTATAACTACCCTCAAATTGTATATAATATCTAAATACATACCTGTCCATGTCATATAATGTCGTGGTGTAGAGTAGAAGCACTTTCACTTCTCTTTCGAACGCATCGAACCCTCTTTCCATAGCTGTAGATGATCTAGATGGCGCTCAAGACCAATCAGCGCCATCTATCGTTGCATTAGGTTACTGCTTGTTGCTGTTTTGATGTTTTTATGTAAATCCCTAAGGAGATGTTGATTTCTTTTGATGAATTTTGCAGAATCATCGAGATAGCAGGCGGACGCGAAATCTACTCGCAGAGCCGCAGTAAAGCATCGCGTAAATCGCGTAACAATCCAACATCGCTGGTTGGTGATGAGTTAGACAAGAAGCAGCGTCAAGGTGTATGGGAATTGAGAGGCGGCGGGACGGCGGCACGATGCAACAATGACGCTGTCGGCCTCGCTGCGAAAGCGAAGGCGCGCGCTGCACGCGACTTCACCGAGACGGTCTTCGCGTCGGAGGTGTGCTCGATGACGATGACGCAGCAGAATTCCTCGGCGGTGGAGGCCCAGCAGTTGCAGGAGCTGCAGGCGACACTCGCTCAATTGCAACAGCGCAATGGTGGCGGCGGTGGTTCACCGGATAACGACGTTGTGGTCTTTGATGATATCGGCGAAAGCTGGCAGAATGATTCACCGCCACTGCTCATGGAAAATGGTAGTAGTGATAGTAATGCTGGGAATGTAGGCGGTGTTAGCTCAATCACCACCACCACCACTAGCAACAATACCAACACCTCGCCGCCGTACAACAATCATCAGATGGACGAGCGCGTGACGAAGGTGATTGGCTCGCTCCCGATTGCCGTGTACGAGGGCTCGCCGCGCAGATACGGCCCCCGCCACCAGGAGTCCAACTGCACGCACCCGCAATTACCTAGCGCGCAGAGCTTGCTTGCTTCCCCTAGTGTCTATCCACCCAGGCCCGGCTTTCCGCAGCGGGTTGTCTGTTCCCCTAGCGAAAACGATGCCCCCACTACTGATAACTACGTAAGTCCCTCGTCAGAACGCGTGCCTATCTTCCCATATCCATAATCCTTGAATTGTTTTTGGGCTAGTATACCAATTTTTATCTTTTTTGATAAAATTTATATTTTTTGTGTTTTTATGTATCTAGAGGACAAATGGTAGTAAACCGGGGTCACCACGTACCACTTCGTCGACATTCGACTACCTCTACGAATTCTCCGAGACGCGTAAAGTCCTCGAAGAGTTCTTCAAGTGCCCGCCGCCGGAAGAAGAAAACCGGCTGGAGGCGGAGTTTCAGGACCTCGAGTATGAGTTGCGCCGCCAGGCGGGCGATTCTGGCAACTCGTATGTTGGTCAGCGATTGGCCAAGCGACCCGAGCAAGATTTCTGCCTACGCATTGATTCACCCCGCAAGCACAATAGCACTAATTTATTAACCCTTCAGGTATTTTATTCCCCCACCTTCATTTACTTAAAAATTAATATTTTATCTTTCTAAATCCATAGGATCATGAAATAACTGAGTACGAAAACAATTTCCTGGACCTCTCGATAGGCACGGGTTCCAGTGGTGATTTGGGCGAGACCGAGGTGGGTCTCCAAGTGGGCCACAGTCGTAACTTCACCCTATCACCAGAAACCACCGATTGTGACTCCAACTGCGGTGACCTCGATAGTGAAGTGTCCCTAATGTTGATGGAGAATGAATTAGGCCCTGCTTCCGGTCTATTAGGCTCCAGTGGTGATCTAGCGATACCCAATGATTCCCTGCGATTGTATTCAAGTATGCCTGTGTTGGAAGATGGTCTCTCTTCCGGTCATGCCAGCGATACAGACAACAACAATCCCACGGTGATGTTGATGAAGCGTCAAATCACCGAGATTGAACGTGAGATTAACCAAGGTATCAAGGGTAAACAACTCGTCAGCAACAAACCACAAGAGAATGGTCTCTCCCCAGCTAAAGAAACACCTCTGAATCAAATCGAGGTGATCAATGGCATCAACTCCTATGATGATCTCAATCATCAATCAGTGGACACGTCAGGTATATGTAGTTTTATTCTAAGTTTCCGGTTTTGTTTCTTGCATAGTGTGTGGTAGTGTAGCACATGTAGTCTTGTGGTAATCCATTAGATAAAACACCACCTCCGCCTGCTCCAGCTCCACATCGCTGCGTCATCCCAACCAGTGGAGGAGGAGGAGGAGGAGGTGTTGGAGGAGTACAGGTGCCCGCCGCTGAGGTCGCTGATGTCGAGGCGGCCATTAAGGATATCCGGTTGACGCTGCAACGCACCAAGACGCTGCCGCTCAAGTGTCATCCGGAAGAGGAATGTGAGGAGGGCAGCGCCGTCAGCCCAGTGTGGGTGCCGAGGTAACTAGCCGCTCGGCGCGTTTAATTTTGAGTCTAAATTTTCGTTGCAGGCAACGTGGGCTGTCAGCAACAAGCGCAGACTCCGATCGGAAGGTGCAAAGTGGTGAAGAGGGAGGTGACGAAGGTAATTATATAGTAATTAGTCATTTTTGACTTAAAAATTAATCATATCTGGGTTTGTTTCAGAAGAAGCCGACACAGACCTCGAAACAGATCGTCTTCTAGGTCAACAACGTACGGATGATCAAGGATTCTACGATGATAAGGTAATACCCATTGTGGTTTCGTGTGTCGTGTGTGAGTCGATGTTTTGTTTTGATGTTAGGATATAGGATAGGGCAGCGCAGATATTAGGTGAAGATTAATACCAAAATATTAGATAATTTTCAAGATGGCGGACTAGTTTTAGATAAAATTCGCATGATACTATTTTGATTACTTACCATCCCTTTACTGGAGCTGTTGTGTCGATAACCGTAACGTGTTTCTGTTGTGTTGTGTGTCTCTCTCACCCAGGGCTGGAGAAAACCCAAAAGTCGGACGATCATGCCGCCATTATCCCTACCCACCACCCAGAAACAGATCATGCACCCGCTGGACGAGGGCACGATACCGCTCGCCTCACCCACCGATCCTCTCATCTCGCATCCCTCGTCACCCAACGCCACCTCCGACAAAAGCCAGTCGCCTCAGAGCCAGAAGGGATCTAACGCTTCGATCAAACTCAAAAAGGTGTGACCCGCTATAGCTGGCATGACCTCTATCTCTTAATACTCTTTTAATGTTTCTGTGTCTTGTTTAATGCTTTTGCTTAGCAAAACATTTATTTCTACATTAGACTAGTCTAAAGTTTAGCAAAAATAAGTTATTGATTGAGAATCTAGAATCTAGAAAGATTAGTTTGTAGGGTCTACAAACATAACCTCAACTGTTGTGGGTGGCGCTATGTGTGTGGACTTGGTTTGCTTTTGATTGCACCGTAGCATTTGAAATTCGCACGCCACGCGAACAACATTCAACATGCCCGCCGGCGGTGTTCCAGCCCGCTTAATGTGCGTCTTATGTTGCAGGACAAAGAGAACAAAAAGAAGGGACGCAACAAGGAAGGTGTGTATAGTTTTGCTTTCTCACCCCACTCACGTAACGTAAATAACAGCGTAGTAAACCAAATACTAATTCTTACTTGATTTTCATGCGTCTTACGGACTTGCTCTTGATGTAAGTACCATTTTAATAACAACTAACTACTTACGCCATCTAGGGTCAAGTGGCCCCGACATGTTTTCCATCATTACAAATCAGATTTGACTTGCAGGTGGATTCTTGGATCCGACAGTGCTCATTGAAGGCGTGTTATTCAGAGCTAGATACCTGGGTTCCACGCAGTTGGTGTGTGAAGGTCAGCCGACGAAAACGACGCGCATGATGCAGGCCGAGGAGGCCGTCAGCCGCATCAAGGTAAAGCATGCGTTCTTTTTCGCCTTTCTGACACTCTCTTTCGCACTGAACACGACTATCTGGTGTTTCCTCTTGTTTTAACCTCAAAACACTACACAACATACCTTCACACATATGAAACACTATACGTTGCTTTTGTTTTCTAACCTCAAAACACTATAACACTACACTACACAACACAAGATACAAATACACATTGTGTAGCTGTGCATGTGTAACAGTAACTGTGGGTATGTACGTTGTTCCAATGTTGGTTGGACATGCGTCGGTATAATTTTGCGGCGGCGCAGACAAACAGTGTGCCCGGTGTGCCCCCCTTCTTCCCCACTTTCGACCAGGAACGACGCACGCTTCATGTGCATATATATATCTTATATATCAATATAAATCAATATAAATATTTGGTTGGTTGCCTGCTCTACGTGTATGATGTGATGAACCCTCTTCGGTTTCGAACACTTTTTGTTTCTCGTTTGATTATTTATGGCGCACACTATATCCGACTATATCTGTTGTCATTCTTTTCTCAATCTCAGCGCTTACCTTTTTGTTGTTATCTCTTCTCATTTACGAGCCGCTTTCGATGTTTTATTTCTATATCGATTGTATTATACATATTTTGAGGTTATGATGAGTGACACATAACATAACCTTGTTTTATTATATTATTGTGCACTTGATTATTATTTATATATGAATATATTACTGATTAGTGTATGATTTTGATTAATTTGATTATAATTTCGTTTTCTCCACCCGTCGATGTTTTTGGTGGTTTTTTAGGTATTGATTGATTTTGCAAGTTGGTTTCTTTGATTTTTTGACAAATAAACACTCCACACTCATACATATATACTCTTAACGTGTTTCCGGCACGATTAGTGCACTCAGTGGCGCATATAATTGTGGTAAGCGAAGAAGGGTGAAATCTTGCAGGAGGCATCCAACCAAATGTTGCACAACTACGGCGGCAGCAGCCCCGAAAGTAGTTGCGATGACGAAACGCCCGTCGATCTGGACGCGGAGTGCGAGTCGGTTATCGATGCGCCTTCGCAGCCATTGCAGGGTGAGCACAGTCATTATATAGCCACACAAAGCTATACTATCTCTTTAGAACCAAATTATTGGTTATGTTTACTATTTTAACCTCTGATATGAGAGGTTATGTGTGTTTGAAAAACTCGGTATGCGCAGAAGCGGCGGGCGCGACCGGCACGGTCTTCCGACTGAATTTCTTGGGCTCGGTCGAGGTGGATGAGGAAGGGGGTCGCAAAAGGCGCAAGCGGCTCAAGAAAAACATGGTCGAGCTGGCCGTTACCAAAATCAAGGTAACCCCCACTCCGATTAACCCCCACCCTTGCTACACAATCAACATACAAACCGTTTCGAAGCGTATCTAATGTTATTTTCTGTTAATTTTCCATTTGTTGAACTTCTCTGCGTTTCGTGTTGAGTAACATACTAACCTAAACATTTTCCCACGCTTCACCTAACCGGATATCTAGGCATTGGTAAGTCCCGCACGTAGTGACCAACCGCATTATTTTTATTTTTGTGGACATATTCAGGCACCAGATGGCGAGACGCAGCCCAGCACCGAAGTGGACCTCTTCATCTCAACCGAGAAGATAATGGTGCTCAATACCGACTTGAAAGAGATCATGATGGACCACGCACTGCGTACCATCTCCTACATAGCGGATATCGGTGATTTGGTAGTACTCATGGCGCGGAGACGTTTCGTCCCGCATGAAATGGAAGAAGCACCCAAGATCAATCGGACTCCGAAGATGATCTGCCATGTTTTCGAGTCGGAGGAGGCTCAGTTCATCGCCCAGAGTATTGGGCAGGCATTTCAGGTCGCTTATATGGAGTTTCTCAAGGCGAACGGCATCGAGGACCACAGTTTCGTCAAGGAGATGGACTACCAAGAGGTGCTCAACTCACAGGAGATATTCGGGGATGAACTACAGATGTTTGCGAAAAAAGAGATGCAGAAAGAAGTAGTGGTACCGAAAGCCAAGGGGGAGATATTGGGTGTGGTGATAGTCGAGTCCGGATGGGGGTCGATGCTGCCGACGGTGGTGATAGCGAATTTGGCGCCTGCGGGTGCCGCCGCACGCTGCGGCCAGCTGAATATTGGGGACCAAATCATCGCCATTAATGGCGTGAGCCTCGTCGGGCTGCCGCTGTCGACGTGTCAGAACTACATCAAGAACTCGAAGAATCAGACGGTGGTTAAGCTCACTGTGGTGCCGTGCGCGCCTGTCGTCGAGGTGAAGATTAAACGACCCGATACGAAATATCAACTAGGTTTCAGCGTACAAAATGGAGTGGTAAGGTTATTTTCATGGTTTTTAAACCGGAAATTAATAAAATGTTTTTTTAGATATGTAGCTTACTTAGGGGTGGAATTGCCGAAAGAGGTGGGGTGAGAGTTGGTCATCGCATCATCGAAATCAACAATCAGAGCGTCGTTGCAGTACCGCATGAAAAGATCGTCAATTTGTTGGCGACATCTGTCGGCGAAGTACGTAACTTTTAAAATTTTAACCTAACCTATATTATATGTTTATTTTTGTGTAGATATTGATGAAAACGATGCCGACATCGATGTTCCGCCTTCTGACGGGTCAAGAAAATCCAGTGTATATCTAAATAGACTTACCGAAGGTCTGAAAGTGCCTACCTTAAAACTAGTTGATATTTAACAAGACGAGCGAAGCAAACCGAAAGAAACCTGTCATTGGGAATTGTTTATTAAGTTTTGGTCGTGCTTGAGTCGCAGATCAATATATTTTTTATTGTAACGCATAAGTTTTAACAGACTGAAGACAATACAAGCGAAGACCTGCGGCGCGGATCATATCTCAGCTTGGTCGTATCCATATTTCAGCAGCACGCGCGCGCGCGCAGTAAATGCAAGGACGACTTAAATGAATTATAGAATATACCAAAGATGTTTGTATAAAAGAAAAATGATGAAGAAAACCGACGTAAAGTCGCGCGCAGTTAGCTAAACACACAAAAAAACGCATGGACATGAATATATTAAGAATATTGGTGGTGTAACAATTAACGCGTAAAAGAAAAGTAACAAATTAGCTCCAAAATACCTATTTATATACGTATAATAATTGTACTGTATTATATTGTAAACTATATCGTAAATGACTCAGCTTTCTTTTTTCTAATTGTGATAAGCTATAAGGAATCGCGAACGCGGAAATCAATGTGTAAAACATGCGCTGACGAATTGAATGTGCTGTACATTTTCTCTAGTCGTAATACGAAAAACTAAAACCACACAAGATTCGCAAGAATTTGAAACGGCGAAAGCGAACCTAACCTTAAATTTATTTCGTAAGCGTCACTCAACCACACGATACACACTCAACATAGAAAAAAATTGCGTGTAAGCCCCACACACACATGTGATAATTGAAAAAAATGTGGAAATAATGCTTCTTACTACATTTCGAATGCCTTACGCCCCCGTATTTCTACTATTAAACGAAACTACTAAACTTCTAGTACCTAACCATATCAAATAAAGAACTATGCAACACACATTACACATGTACACAATTTACGATTGCGTTGACGACATTTGTTGAGATTTGTGCAAAAACTAAGAGACGAACAAATATTATATTAACGAAACAAACGAAATCAAATGCAGAGATTATTGTAAAACTATCGATATAGTGAAAAATGTTACTTACATTGTGCTGACAAAAAAGAAAAACTCTCCTGTATGATTCGATGATATTACTTAGTTAAGAGACTCTTCGTTCTGCCATTATAACGTCATCATAACCTACAAATGACCTATGACCGCATCGCGCATGCGCCCCCTTCCGCATTCGACTTTGTATTACCGGGTGTTCATCTTAAATGTAAGACAAAAACAAAAACAAAAAGAAAAACGGACGCGCGAAGGGATGTTTAGTCGAAATAAACACTTGCATTAATGAATTTCTATCTCCAGAGATTTATCCCGCTGCCCTCTTTCACCCGAAATAAAGTGTTGTAGGGAGATCGCAGATTGTGTAAAGAATTTATTTCGTAAAAAGCCTTACATATCAATATATACAACACACTTAAATGTTCGCCGTTCTGCTTAAAATGTTTTCGACCTGCTTTTTCGCTATATGTTTTTCTCCCGGGGGGCTTATGTTGCATTTTTACTTGTCTCGAAGCTGACGTCTTAACTATTCTCGAAAATAGAAACAATCTCAATCGGAAATTCGAAATTACAAAAACCTATCGATACATTGCGCTTCGCTTGCTTCATTTCTTTGTTTGTTTGTTTTTTATATAACATTTAACATGACTAATCCGTTTAATTAATCAAGAAATCACACATTTGACAGCTTGATAGTCGAATCAGCCGCAGTCAGTCGCGCGTGCACGAATTCGACCCGTTTTTTTTTTTTTTTTCAAATGACATCCACTTTTGTTTGAGAGGAGAAACTAAAATAACTTAGTGTATCGACTAATGTATAAATCTAATCAGCAACAGTTTGTTTTTTCTTTCTTTCTTTCTTTTTCTTGACGAGAAATGAAAAGGAGTGAAGTGTTGAAGTTGCGCCGGATGGATCAAACGTAAGAATGTCTCTCAGTTTTGCTCGTACGATACAAACTGATAGGATAAGTAGAGCGATTATTGAACAATTCGGTACAAGTGCAGTGCGACGGTCTGAAACGCGCAGAAACCAAGTTATACATTAGTTATTATTGATTGACGCGCAAACATTACGTGTTAGCGCAATCATTCTTTCATAATTCGATTCTGTACATAATTCTCCATCTAATAACATCGTGAATGTTTTGAAAATAGTTTTCTATCATTAGTTACAGGTAAAATTCATTTTTTTTGCAGTTTTTTGCTTGTAACTTTTTTTCCTGGCATAAATTTTGATAAATTTTTATAGAATTAGATGTAGAATACAATGCAGAATCGATTTTTAAAAGAATCATTATTCTATCACAATTAGTTCTTGAATAAATCAATAAATCATGACTAAAACCATCAGAAATCTTACTTTGTAAAACTTAAACATTAATAACTCCAAAACCAAACGTGATATCATAACAAATCTTTCAAAATTCAATAAAATATCTAATTCTGTGTATAATCACACAAAAATGATTGAAAATAGTTTTATATAATCAATTATAGCTAAATTTAACAAAATCGAAGTTTTAAAAGCAGTTTGATGTGAATTTTTATGCATTTTGTGATTTTAAAAGAATTGTTATGATACCCCGTTTAGTTTTTGAGTTATTAATCAATAACTCGGCCTCGAATGAAGCTGGTTTGCGTGCCCAGACCGTTGTCCTACACTTAAACCGAAAGTTGATTACAAAATGCACACCGATCGTGTTTCACTCGTGGGTCTCGCCGCAAAAGTCTCAGTTGTCCATGGCGAAGCGACGCGTCCACTCCTTGGCGTTGCGGATGGCCTCCACCTCGTTGACTTTCCACAGTTCGGCGACGTCGTTGGCGAGCGGGTCGTCGGGATTCGGTGCGCTGAGCAGCGCCTGAATCGACAGCAGCACGGTGCGAATTTGCAGCGCCGGGCTCCACTTGTCCTTGAGAATGTCGAGGCAGATGCGCCCCAGCCGGTCAATGTTTGGGTGATAGATACGTGTGATGAAGCGCACCTTCGGCGCCGACATCGGGTAGTCCTCCGGCAGGAAGAGCTCCAGCTTGAAGAGGCCGCCCTCGAACGGGGAGTCCTCCGGGCCGGTGACGATGACGTGAAAGTAGCGTGCGTTGTTCTCGTCGGGCACGGCGCTGATGCCGGGCACCGGCTCCTGCATGAGGCGCAGCGTCTCCTTGGTTATTCTACGAGGCAGGGCTGCCATTTTTCTTTACGTGCTATACTCGACGGCGAGGCGAGATGTCCGTAGGGTTGCGATGCGAGAGACGGGAACTACGTGCTTCGAGGCGCCGGACGCGCGCTGCACATGCTAGGTTACGCCGACGTGACCTGGACCTGGTGCGCTGCGGAGTCGCTGAGCTCGGCTGCGTTTTGCACTTGATAGATGTGTCGATGGATTTGATTGTTCACGGCCTGGCCTGCAGTTATCGCACGGTTTTCTACTGGAGCGCCACTGAGCATGATCAGAAACGACCAACGTACAACTTAAATTATACCGGGTGAAACAAGCAACCTGTCAAAAAATTAAAATTTAAAAACTGCTTATATTCATTAAATCAATTAAACCAAACATAAAATAACTACTAATACATTTATTACTATATATTACCATAATTTTTATTGTTAAAAAGCGCCTACTTTTAAAAATATTCACTAAAATAATGTTTGCCATTCCCCTAACATAGTTTTTTTGGTTTGCTAACTCACCACCATTGTTGCGACGAACTTAACCGAACCGAAAACATCACCCGAAAGTTCAAATCGTTCAAAATTCCTGCTGACCCTCCTGCTAATCATTCCCAACACCGCTTCGACATTCAGTTTCACGCAAGGACAGCGAAATAAATCAATTTCTAATCATGGTGCAGTACAAAGTGGTAATGGTACGTCATGGTGAGTCCGAATGGAACGAGAAAAACCTATTCACCGGCTGGTACGACGCGAATCTCAACGCAAAAGGTATAACATTCAGTCACCTTGAAACGACCTTCACACATTTTTCAACTAATTTTATTAATTTAGGCGAGGCGGAAGCCAAAAGTGCCGGTGTCGCGTTGAAAAACGCCGAATACAAATTCGACAAGGCATATACATCAGTCCTCACCAGAGCTCAGAGGACCTTAGCTTCAATTCTCAAGGAAATCAACCAGGAGGACATCCCTATTGAGAGAACATGGAGACTCAATGAAAGACATTATGGTGGCCTGACTGGATTGAACAAATCCGAAACAGCTGAAAAGTATGGAGAGGCTCAGGTGGCTGTCTGGAGGAGGAGTTTTGATGTCCCACCTCCTGCAATGGAAGAAGACCATCCTTATTTCCATACAATTGTTGATGATCCAAGATATAAAGATGGTCCATCAAAGGAAGAATTCCCCAAGTTTGAGAGTCTCAAACTAACCATTGCAAGAACAATGCCATTCTGGAATGATGTAATTGTGCCTGAAATCAAAGCAGGAAAACAAATCCTGATTGCTGCACATGGCAACAGTTTGAGAGGAATTGTGAAAACCCTTGATAAAATGACTGAGGATCAAATCATGGGTTTAAATCTCCCAACAGGCATTCCATTTGTTTATACACTTGATGAAAATATGGAACCTGTTGAAGGTGGCAGCTTGCAGTTCCTTGGCGATCCAGAAACAGTGAAGAAAGCAATTGAGGCTGTGGCGAATCAAGGCAAGTCAAAGTAAATCCTTAAATCCACTTTGTATTTTGATACACTGCTATATTTCGTACAAAATCTATGAAAATAAATTAAATTCTTAGTAATTTTGAAGGATTTTTCATAAATTTTTAAAAAAATCATTCATTTATCAAGTTTTATTTCGTTTCAATCACAATAATGTAATATCCCAACAAGTATAACATATTTGTACACTGGTACATACATTCAAATGAATAATACTGATAATGAGCTCAACATTAATCACCCAAAAACAAAAAACAATAAATTATCATATTTAATGAGTTAAATTACATTTGAACGAAGTTTTCGTCATTTCTGTGTCTTGGAATATCAAAAATTATATTTACAATTGTGTTGTAACCTCAACCATTCAACTATTAACCTCGAAATGTGCGGGGCGCGTGTATAACCTCACTTATATAATAATATATAGATCACACATGTGATCGTGAATATGCATATTGCCATGTAGGAAGGAATAAGTCTTCGTTGAAATCTAACTCTACAAACAATGTGTCTTGTTTTGTCTTGCGTTTAATTGCGATTTGCGCTAATTGCAAATGTAAATCGATCTAACAACGTGTCATACATTTGTTCATAGAATGATAGAATGCGATAACGTTTATATTCATTTATTTATTTATGTATATATGTATATATTTCGTTAGTAGTCTCGATAGTTTAGTAAATAATTGAGTATTGTTTGCGTTAGGGTTTGGATTGACTATCATTGACATTGTCTAATTACGTTTAATTGCATAACGTGAGCGTTAACGTTTATATACTCGAAAGTTAAGTCTTTTAAGGATTAATCGCATATTAATTAGATTATATCAGTGTTTTGTGTTTGTTTGCAACTCTTGTGGTTATGATATCGATGATATTTTATATTAGAGATAATCTGCTACGATTGATGTGTATTGAGTGTGTTCGGGTCGTTAAAATGCTTAAAATTTAAAATATTTTGTGAGCGTTAAGTTAGAATTGATGTTTGATGAACGGTGAACACGTTCGATTTTTATTGTCCGGCACTCAGTGCTAATACTGATAATGATAATTGTTTTTTTCTTTGGTGGCGGCCATTTTGTCCACAAACTGATGGTTTGTGACCGATCAACAACTCACGTGATATCTTGCTTTCATATTTGGTCGATAATTTGGTTTAAGTGTAGTTTAACTGTCTGAAATTTTATAAAATTGTTTTTTTTGTTTGTTTTTTGTTAATAACTCAAGTATACAAAGTGATAGAGGTATGATTCTTTCATAGAACTGTTGTGTATTAAATTCTACGTGTAATTATCAAGAAAAACACTAGAAATTGTTTTTGTAACAGAACTTATTGATGAAAAATCAAAAAATTTCAAATGAATTAAAAAATTGAATAATTTTGCTAATAATTAATTATTTAAATGTAATATTAATCAAGTCTTAATGTAAATAGATGTTAAATTTCATCCCGGATAGAATGCTGAAAAAATTATCACTCTATCTCTTTTAGTTTTTGAATTATTAACAAAAAACTTTGAAAAAAAACTTTTCTGTCATTTTCAAACCGTTTAACCACACTTACACCAAACATGAATATTTTCTGACTACAACGATATGATTTGCAATGATTTTCTCGTTTGTTAACATTAACTACGTCTACTACATCATGTTTAGGCCAAACGTGAACACAAATACAGTTTGATTCGAAGTGTGACTGATGACACCATGTACATAACCTCTCAACGATCTAACTATAAAAATTATCACGTTGCTGATACAATGGCAGCGGCGATATGGGCGAAGAATCCTCATCATCCGAATTCCCCGCCTGTGATTCCAGTGGCAGTTTGGAGAGCGCTTTGACTAAAGTAAAAAACAAGAAAAAACGTGTGTGTGTGTGTTTCTATAGCCCAAGTCTGAGGTTATGTTCACAACAAACCATGCGCACAAAATACGCCAATCAGTAAGTAGAGATACTTATACGTAAATAATTTAATCAAATAATAAACATAATCTGTATATATACTCCTGCTGCTCTTTTATACAATCATACAATTAATTCAGGTTATGCGCTATAAATAAATAACAATATTTATGCTATCAATTATTTCTAGGTATACGCAATACATCAATGAAAATAATAAATAATAAAAATGTACACACACTGCGATATCGATACAATTAGTACACCAAATTCAAAAACAAAAAACACATGCAGGGGGAAATAGTATGAGTGGTGGTGGGAGTAAAACTGCAGAGCATGCTAATTGGATTCGTCTGCATTGTGTTTACCTGCGACGATCTTGCTCATCTCCATCACTTGCTTCGCGAGGATCTGATTCAACTGCAAGAGATGCTCACGCTGCTTCTTCTCTTCGATCATCTTCGTTGTGGCTTTGGTTGTGGTACTTGCAGCAGCAGTAGAAGTCTCACCTTCATCTCCTACAACAACAAAACAAAAAAGGTAAGGTTATGTTTATTTCCTAGATTATTTTGTAGCTTAACATACCATTAGCCAAATTGGCAGTGCTAGTGCTTAGAATAGTAGTATCCGAGAGCATCTTCTTGATGGATTCGACTTTCCTCAATCTGTGCTCTTCTTCTTCAGCGGACAACTGCGGAGTTTGTTCGGGTATGTACCTCTCGGGAATAAAAATCTTATTTGGTGCACCAAATAAGTTATCAATAGTATTCTCAGTATATTTAAGTTCTTTACTGCTTAAAGTACTTCGTACTACATCAGGTGCATCTATACGTTGCCTCAAGGCTCTTTCCATGTCTAAATCATCTCTTGCACGTCGTGTTTCCAATACTGCTTTGTTAAAAGTGTCATCGTCAGTTGTAGGCAGTTGATTGAAACTCTTTCGGATGAGGTTATTATGTGGGGCTGTGTAATGGCGGCGTTTTTCTATGGGAACAGCTCGACGGTTTTTATTCTTAGGTGTTTCCTGGCCGATTTCAGTGATTATCTGCCTTGCGGCTTCACTTTTAAACACTGGAGACAATACAGGTGAAGCATCTTTCTCGTATTGAGATATACTGGGTGTTGAACTGGTTCGGCTTAGGTTATCTTCCGGATAGGTTAGGTTTGTGCTACTGGTTGCTTTCTGCACGCTTAGGGTTGTAGGTCTAGTTGGGCTTGAAGTGACATAGAAATCATCTTCGATTAAAGCGTCGTATTTGTTTGGACCACTTGGACCACTCGGTGTGACCTTGTCACGGTCACGATCACGATGCCGACGTTCGGATTCACGTTTGACAATACGCACGGTTTTGATTTCGGGTTTCTCTTGTGGCAGTGGCATTGTAAACTGATGATTGGTGGAGTAATCATCAACTGGTGTGGTCCCACCATAGATGTCTTCCTGGGGATTATTTTGAATTTGATTTTGAACTGGTCCTTGTCCTTTGAGATCTGTACGAATGTACAATGGAGACATTGATGATGGTATGGATGAATTACTCTCCCAATTTGATTCACCATGATCTCTGATGTACATTGTATCAAGGTCTGTCTCCCTCCATCCGGAGTGGATCCTCTTTTTACCATCAAATGACTTCATGGGAATACTAGACCTGTCTGTGAGTTGTCTCACCTGCAAACTCAACTCTTGTCGTTGTTTTTGAAGATCCCCGACTTTTTGTTGGACTTTTTGAAGGTCAGATTCCATTAGACCATTACTGTTACCAATATTACCTATCCCACAAGTCAGGCTATCACCTGGGTTGGAAAACTGTGGTGAGGACCTGTTTTGGTTCTGTTTGGATGCTTGGAGTTTCTGTCTCAGGACCAATAACTCCTGTTCCAATCTAGCATTACCCGCGACAGTCTCCTCTAACTGTTTGGAGTTCTGTGCGAGCATTAGGTGTACTCTACTGAGTTCATTCTCTAAAATAGACTGTTGCTTCTTAGCTTTCTCGATAATCTCTGGATCATTGTAACCCTGCATTAGTCTACTACGAATCCCTCCAAGAGCTCTTTCAATATCCTCTTTATCTTGTTGAAGACCTTGTAGGGTACCTGAACCTTCCTGGATCAATTGATCCAACTCATATAACTGTTGGACCTTCTCCTGTAGTTGCAGGTGACTTGAATTAATACGGTTCCAATCACGTCTTTCGTCATCCAGGAGTTTCTTCTCTTGCATCTGTTGGTTAAACTCAATTCTATCTCTCGTGGTATAACTACTAGATCTATCTGAGCTGGGGAACTTGTACAACGAACCAAGTTTAACCATATTATCAACCAGATTCACCATGGGTTTCCCTTTCTCGTACTGTTTTTCTAAGTCTAGAAGATGTTGTTTGATTGCTTCCAGTTTCTGAAGACTTTCCATGCGTTTAGCGGCATCCATCAAGTGCAATTGGGCCTGTTTAGCAAAACATTAATTTTAGTATCGGTTAAATATTGGTGGAGAAATAAAAAAGCCCAAAAACCACCACAGGGTGTTACAGAAAGGAATTAATTTAATTTGTGATGTGCAAATGTTGCGTTGGGATTAGTTGAGTTAGCGAATTGAAACATGGTGGGCACCTGTATACTGTCAATTTCATTATAACCCGCTTCGATCGCATGGCAAATATTCGTGCTCTGTCGGCGCAATTGAATCAGGAGGAGGACGAGCTCCTCGTGGGTACGACCCAGGAGGTCACCAGCTGATAACTTTACTTTTGCATTCCAAGGCGTCTATTATATTCAAATAAATTTTTTAAAAATCATAAAAAATAAAAAAAACAAACAATTTACTAACCTTCCGGTTTTCCGCTTCGATGTTTTGTTGACTCGGTGCAGGACTGAGATAATAATCCTGCCAACTAAGCAAAAAAATTCATATTTTAGCTTAAAATTGAGGTTATGTTATGTTGTATTACTAACATAGTATAATCACTGTCATAACTTCGATGTAGGTTAGAGGTGGATCTCGATTGGTGCTGTTGATAGTCACGTTGCATGGCCGCCATGTTATGCATGCCCATCGAGAGCGAACCTGAAGCTAAACATTGAGGTTATATCTTTCATCAGAACCTAGAAAGTTGTAAGTTGTTCTTCATGATTGACATGCACTAGTTCTCTGAGAGATATTGACAAATGATGCTGATTTATACATGATGTGTGTGTATATACATATCATACAGTACCTAAAAACGTTTAACTTGTACCTGCTTCTTGGGCCACCGGCTGCGACGCTCTGTTTCCGTCACCACCGCCGCCAACAAACTCCACCTCCGCCGAGGCGGTCGCACGCGCACCCGCTGACGACGCGGATGACATCAAGTCCCACTGACGGAGTTTCTCTCGATCTATTATAAACGAAGCTGATTTTGATCCGGCATTTTGTTTTGTGCTTGTACTAGTAGTACTCAAACTTTGTTCTGGTGGTTGTTTAGCGAATTTCTCTTGTACCGGCATGTTGTATACAGTGTCATTGACATAGACCACATCTCTGGTGATAGCTCTAGATGGTTTTTTGCTTTTGGGCTCTTTGGGAGACGTGGCCATTTTGGAATTTGTTACATTCGCTATCCCCACACAGTCTAAGTCATCTAGACTTTTTGTATGTCTTTGACTGGCATCTCTTAATCTCTCCCTCCAGATAGAATCCTCTTCCCAAAGATAACTCCCTTCATTAGGGTCTATCTGTTGTTCACTATCCCCAAGGACATTCTCTAATAACCCTTCTAAACTGTGTGTCCTTCTAACAATCCCATCCTCATCCGAAACAAATTTCTCATCTTTTTTTGAAGGATAAACATTCCTCTGTTGTGGGTTCTGCATGTCTGGCACTTTCAATCTCTTGAGGGTGTCCGATTCGTAGACGTTCTTCTTATCGATCTGCCCGGATTTATCTGTAAGATTAAGAAAGTCCACACTGGCAGATCGTGTCGCCAACTCGTTCGCCAACTTAAATGGTTGCCCGAAACTAAAGTCACCAGTGTGGTTGGATGCGGGTCGATTGTGAAGGGAACCCCGGATGGGGTTCACGATGTGAGTAATGTCCCGCTTGCCGCCATTGTTAGTACCGCGCTGATTGTTCAGCTTCAACATGCCACCGCCACAAAGAGCGTTCGTGTTCAGCCCAAGGTCAGAATAGTAATAAGGCGCCGAGGTCAAGCTATAATCGTACTTCTCTTTCTCCGAGGGTTTGATATCATCAAAACCACTTTGGGGCGACCCTAAAAAAGCATTCTCAGAAGTATCCGATAGATAGGTAGTACCTTGACTATCTTTAGACAGATCCCTAGTGTGTAAAATCTTCGGAGATGATAATTTTATCTTTGTCACTATCATATTCTCATAATCATGGTATTTATTGGTAAAAACCAAGTCATCATCTATTTTCTCCAAGTATTTCTTGATATCCGTTGAGTTAAATTCACTGTCAAGTGATTCTACTTCATCCCGATATTCTTCGGAGACAGGGCGACCTTTGAAAAGTCTTTGTATGTCCTTTCTGACATATTCCACATCAGAGTCAGAATTCTGTGAGTGTGAAAACGTGCGTATTCTGGAGGTACCCTCATCCGTTTGTAAACTACACAAGGATAAATCATCACCTTTTGCTTTATCTTGTTTTTGTTTGGGTTGATCAAAGTCTTCCATTGGAGGAGGTGATCTTGGAATGGGTGGTGGTGAAACCAACTCACTATCAGAACTGTCTTGTTCCGGTAAGGCTGTTTGGCTAGCTCCCAGGTAATAAGAAGCAGGGCGGAAGACATCCGAAAGACTAAATCTTGGATTAGCGGAGTATAAAGATTCTAAGTCTTTGGATGCTTCATCATCTGCATCTGAACTGTCTGATTTACTATCCTGAACGGATGAAGGTAATAGGATATCAGGTAGGTCAATCTTTTTTATTGATTCGTCCTTTTGGATATCAAGTGTATTGGTTCTTAATTTTGGGTTGTGTAATTCCATGTACAAAGGTTCCATTTGTGGAGGTACCTGAGGTGTCTCCAGGGTATCCCCAAAGGTTACTAACTCATAAGGATCTAATACAGAGGTTGTTAATCCCTGAGTCATCTCCACATATGGATTCTCTTCATTTTCATTTTCGTGGTTTGATGGAACCATTGCCCCCTCCCCAAAATCAAACGTATTCTTTTTCGGAGTCATAATCATATAGTTCTCCTCAATGATAGCATCAATATCCTTGGCCTGTGTGGGGGTACGCGGCGCCTCAGGTGGCGCAAGTTTCGAAAACTCCGCCAGGATGCTTTTCACCAGCGTGCCGCCGGTGCGATTATCGAGACCAGGCGAAAGTGGTGCGATTGCAGTGGTGGTGGTGGTGGTGCTTAGCGTGTCAGTTTGTGGTGGTGATAGAGAGATAGGCGTGTAGGGTGCGCTTGTGTCTGCCGAGATCCGTCCTGCCTGCGTAATTCGCGCCGCATCCGCATTTTCTGAACCGGGTACAGAAAAATGTACAAACAAACAAAACAATTACAACAGAAAGTTAAGAATTAGAGGGGGGCGAGACACGGCACTACTCGTATGTAAAAAGCTAGCAGAGAGTTAATCAGATAAAACATCTACTCCCGTTAGAACAGATAGGCGTTATTAGTAACAGAAAGAATATAAAAATAATGTTTGGAGATATCAACAAGTGATGAGTTTTGTGGCAGGCAGGAAGGACCCAGAAACTAACCACCCCGCACACCATATAGTCCCATAGAGTCAGATCCAAGAGACACAAGTCACAAGTATAAACACATTGATGATGATACAAATTATGATACAAAAAAGTCTACGAATTCGTTGTTATCATCCCGATGCACGCGACTTACCTTCATCATCCGACGAATAGCTGTTGTATTGACCCATAGCTGACCGCCCATCAACATGCCGAGCATAACTACTCGCACGTTTGTAATATTCCGGTTTACTGTAGGTTTTGTTCACATTCTGATTCACCTTCCTGTTGAGTGGACTCTGCAACATCCGCTGCTTCCATTCCAGGAGGCGTTTCATCGATTCTTCTCTCTAAGTGGTTAATTTCGTCAAGGTTAAGCGTGTCTTATTGTAATTGTGCAGCATATAAACTTACCTTTCTTTCACCTTCTTTGTTCATGCTCGCTCGACCGTCGCCTTGCAGTCGCTGCTCGATGTTGGCAAGTCGAGCGCTTGCAGAGCGTGTAAACGGGTCGTATTCTCTCAAGTGATCATAACGATGACCATAGAGATGGTCTGTTTGTGCGTTGGGGAGTTCTTTATATTGACTACCATATAATTCTCCATCTAACTCCTTTGAAATAGATCCTTCACTCAAAACACTTCTACATCTCGTCGGTTGTAGAGGTAGAGACTCCCTACGAGTTGAAGAATACTCAACAGGGGTTGTAGCATAATTCAAGGGTTGTGTATTGGACCTCATCAGAGGAAAAGTATTATCCGCTTGGATTTCATGTGATCTCCTTGGAGGTGTGCTGTATTTCCCTGGTAACTTGGACAAATACTGCGCGCTTTTTCTCATTTTTTTCTGCATATCTCTCCTCGGAGTAGAAATAATTATCTCCGTTACGGTTGATATCCAGGCTGGATTTGGGCCGGGCTGGTTGTGGATTAACACTCATAGCCTGATTCAATCTATGTGTAGCTTCATATTCTAAAAAATCAGCACTATGCGGTCGTGGAACTGAATTCGGAGACTTTCTAACCTCTCTGGAATCACTCCTGGTAATAGACATAGGTGTATATGATCTTTGGATAGGAGTCATGGGAGTAGTAATAGATATCGACTTATTATACGCCAAGGGACTCAAAGGTCTCTTATACATGTATTGCTCCGCATAGATATCTTCATAATCCGATGGATGGCGGCCATTTTGTGCGGTGCCATTCAACATGTGCGTCTTGGACCTCCCATAGGTATCCGGCGTGCGACGTTCGGTATTCTGTGCGATATACTGCTGCAGTTGTTGGTGTTGTTGTTGTTGACCTTGATACTCTTGATTATAAACACTGTCTTGACTGTATACGGAGTTAGACTTTGACATGTTGCGCAGGTACGCAGGTGGTTGTAGAGTGACATATTTCGGTTCATTGTAGCGCTCGAGCGTGTCGGGACTCGGCGAGGAATATCCGGTGTCATTAAGCCGGCGTGGTTTGGGAGGTGCGTTCGCGTACAGCGGCTGATTATACTGACTCAGATTCATGTGGTGATTGAGATCCTGGCTCGGATTGCTAAACTCGGTCGTGTTGCTTGATGAATGCGCGTGGAGTGGTAGACGCATAATTTGAGCTTGGGACTGAGGTTGTGGTTGTTGTTGGATGATTGGGTTGTGACTATAGTTGGATTCAATTGTTTCATTGAGTGGATTGTATGAAGATGGAGTGTTTAAAGAAGAATCAGACTCACTATAAACAAAAAAATTAGGTGATTAGTATTATGGAGGTAATAAAAACAAAATGGCTGACTTACATGTTGCTCTGGAGTAAACTAGCGAGGTTAAGCGCTCGGGCCCATTGCATCATCAACTCCTGAGTATCAGCTGCAAGCACATAGGTCCGCATGTTGGTATGTTCACATTTGAAAGCAAACTTCCGGTTTGCTCTATCCTCTGGACCACAAATAGACACTCTATACGATGGCAGTAGGACAGATCCCAGTAATTTTTCTTCTTCTGGACCTTTAAAAACCATATTTTCAATAAAAAAAATTTTTTTTCAAAAATATAACCAACCCACCTTTATAATAAAACAAAACATATTCCGAAAGCACAAACCACCTCTTCTTCCACAACATCAACCCATCCGACCCTTGCTTATGCAACCACCCCTGCAACGTAACCGGAGCATCACTGGGACGTTTCGCTGAAGGTGACCTCAACTGCGTATGCCCTCCAGACTTCCTCCTCTCCAACTCCCGGTGTTTATTATGCACCGGGGTGGTATTACTCGTATTCAAATTCATATTGGTATTCATCGTATTAGTAGAACTAGTTGTAGTAGTAGGAGTCCCAGGTTCAGACTTGATCTGATTCTGAGACTGATACACCGCATTGACACTGGAATGAGGTGGAACCCATGGTTGCGGTGTAAGATTCGGATTATGTTGATAGGTTGTAGCATGTTGATGAGTTTGATAAATCGGGGATAAGGGAGACAACTGTTGCTGATGTTGTTTGAGTTTGTTCTGTTGATAGATGTACTGGTTGTTGTAATGCACGTGCAGCGGATTTGTATGAATATTCGCAGTGTTGTACAAGTTCCCCGGTGGTTTATTCATATAAGGTTGATGGACATGTTGATGGATCATCGGAGACTGCCTCAGATGTTGTTGTTGTAGTTGGTTGTTTGGTATTTTCAACCCCTGCTGCATATAGCGTAGATATTGTGGTGGAGTGTTGTGTTGATGTTTCGGTATGCCATCCATGTCCACTGTTGTGGTGGTGACAACCGTTGCGTTGTGCAGCGAGGCTTTCTTCTCCATGCTGGGATCCAGCCTGGAAATAATTATTTTCTCTATTAGTTATCTGTTAATGTTAATATTTGATGATTCTTTACCAGTCCCACAAGTTGTACAGACACGAAAACATTTTTCACGTGTGATATTTACTGCAGGACGTTAAATTCTAGTAATTAATGGCGTTGAGCGTGAAAGGAAGGAGTTGTTCGCGTGTGCGACACATTGTGTGCATGCACATTGATGTAGGTCACAATGGCATTGGTGAGCGGCGGGCATATTGACGAGAGAGGCGTTTACATCCTATACTATATTCGCCCAGTACACAACGATTGAGAATATTATCGCCGCGGATTAAATCGAATGAGATTCCATCACATCACAAGCGATTCGACACGCGCGCACGCATACACGACTAGTTTTGTATATATGCGAAAAATGGGCGCTAGGTGGAACGCAACGCACGTTTTCGATCCGTTTACTATTATTTACGCCGTGCGAATGTAGCGGCAGTGCCGTCGCGGCCACTTCCGAGGTGACGGCGTCGGCGCCCTGCGATGCGTGCTACACACCCCCGGAGGGGTTGAGTTGCGCGCCGCCACCATCGACATTCTCATGCACGGAACTAAATATTTATTGCAGCGAGGGTGGATGAACTGATTAAAGATTGAATGCAACCAGACTAATCCATTACACGCGCGAATGCAAACTGAGGGGTGTTGCAAAAGGTGGATTTCAATTTATTTTGTATTTGTGTGTGTGGGTAATATAAAAATCAATAGAAATGTATTATGTCAGTGGAGATGTGTCAACATAACCTCAAATGAGTACTCTTTGAGTGTTTGTAGTACTTGCGGTGGTTTGGTACGCAATCGTTGGAAATAGCGTGTGATCTTTGAAAATCCGTCGTAAAATGGGTCATAAAATTCGCAACATCCCAGTTTCGAAAATAAACCGACACGAATCGGTCACGACCGGCGGAGTACTGCTTGAATGTTGACATTAATGCAGCTGAATTAAATTTAGATTCAATATGTCCTTGGTGTTTGCAAACATTTCGGGATTTAAGTGAGTCGTGTCCGAGTTTTTGCTTTTTAATAATAACTAAATCATATCAATAAATAATGTAATTGTTTTACAGAAATCGATTCAGAATTAAATTCTCCATCAAGTAATGAAGAAATAATAATAAATTTATTATCATTTCAAAATTACAGGCTTATAAAGACATAATTTGATTAATAATTTAAGAAAATTTAAGGAATGTAGAGAATTTGTGCTATAACTAATTATAAAAAATAGTTGTCAACATAATAATTACACAATTAAAAGCAGAATTTAATTCTCTATAACGTTTTGAAAAAATTATAATTCTAACATATCTCGATTTTTACTTATTAATTAATAACAGCAAAATTGGTTTGTGCTAAAAACCTTAAACATGATTCACTGTTCCAGTTTTTAATTAATAACTCGATAACACACACCGCTACAATAATAATTTCTTCAGAAATCGATTCTGTATTAAATTCTCCATCATAAACCACAAAAACTTTAGCAAAAAAAACATCTTACAAAGAACCTAAGCGGTTTGAAACGAAAATATTTGCGATTTGTATCATCCACATCATCAACATTCCGCACGCGTTGTATACAACACACCTCTAACCTAAAAATACCCATTATTCACATTACTCACACAAAACCACAAAGAAAAACCGCCGAGGAATACAAATAATGCACTCATTATGCGCATGCTCTAGAAAGTCGAACTTGAACATGTCAACTTACTTAGCGACGAATTTAACACCTTTTGTTTTGAGTCTTTTTTATCTCAAACAATGCACACTTTTGTTTTTTTGTTTTCTTTTTTCTTTATTATTGTAGGTGTTAAATAACTTTTAACCCACATATATGCATCGTGGGTAATTGTAAAGTGTGCGCGTGTTTCTAGTTATAGAGAATTAAATCACTTTGTTCGCTGAGTTGCGCGTTGCGTTTCCACGCACGCAGGACAACAATGTGCTATTAATTACATTATTACACAGGCGTAATATGTCCACGCATATAATACATACACATGAATTGTATAAATGCTACAAAATCGTTGTAGGGTATTCAAGTAAACAAAACAATGCGTTTAACGCAGTCAAATGTCAACAAAGGTGGTATTTTGACATTTGATTTAACCTAAAATGTAATTTTGACATTAACCTAACATTATCTAGTATTAACCTATCGTTAAATGCTGTCAAAATAACAAAATTGACATTTTGGTATAAAACTAACCTAAAAATGAATTTTTTACATTAAATAAATCAAAAAATACATTTTTGACACTAATCTATCATTTAACGCTGTCAAAATCAACGAAATTGACATTTTGACATTGAATTAACCTAAAAATATAATTTTGACATTAACCTAACACTACTTCACGTATTGTTGATTAATTCACGTCATGTTGCGGCAATAATCCGGTCGTGGCACTCGTGATTAGATTTTATTAGACCGAACGCACCTTGTCAACAATCTCGCGGCCAATAATTACACAGATTATAGCCACTTTTTTCATTTCAGCGCACGCCTCGTTTCCATTCACCGGCGTTATTGTTATGCATTGCTGGGCGTCGTCTTGTGCACGTATGCCTTGTAAAACGGCGTGTTTTGTCGCCGGCCATATTGTTCACGAAACGTGATTGCACTAAACAAATCGCAAACGAGCCGAAAACATGTCACGCGCATTATGGCGGCAAATAACCTTAAAAACTAACCGTAAACGCGCTACTACGCCTGCGTACTTCTGTATTAGTATTAAAACGATTTGTTTGATCAATAAGGAAACTGTAATTGAGAATATTAATAGAACAAATGTTGATATTAGCTTCACATTTCGTTCCGCTTGTAAATTACGTACGCATCCGAGCAATTAATTAATCTGATAATTTTATATCATATAAAATTGTATAATGGATATACAGGGTGATTTAAACGGAAAAAATGAAGAAACTTGATTATTTTTAATTAAAAAATGCTTTTTTGTTGTGAAAAACTGAAGAAACATTAAGAAAATTTAATCAAATTTTAATCAAAAGGAAAAAAATGTTTTAATGGTTCTAAAATGGTTTTAACCTATTTTCTACACTAGATAAATATTTTTAAACCACCAAAAAACGATTTTAAACATTCAAAAATTAATTTTTGTGCATAAAACTTCGATTATTAAAATACGCCTGGATCAACTGAGATCGGTACGAAATTGGCCGCAAACTGCATAAGCAACGACAGGGCAGTTTATGATTAAAAGCAAAGAGGAAGGTGCGCAAGGCCGGCGCGTCGATGGTTAACGCGACCTTATGCGCGGGTACGGCGTAGATGCGCAAAGTCCGGCGGCGCGTCGATGGCATGCGACTTTGTGCTGATTGCATTTGGCACTTTACCTGAGATTAAAATATTTAAGATGCAGCAACGTACGGCATGGTGCTGGCCACGCCGACACACGCCAACACTTGATAAGAAAGTGTATATTGTGTTCAAACAAACGCAATTCTTGTGTCGAAGGTTCACGCGAGCTGATAAATATAGGAAATAAACAATACAAGTTTATTTTTACAATTTTTAGTCCTTGCTATTGCCATCTTTAAATGATACAGTAGTTTCGATTGAAGTAAAGGTGGTAAAAATTAAAATTCGATTTGCGTAATTGATTTCTTGCACGACAGATTACCAGACTTTATTAAATATTTAATATTTAATGATATTTAGTGAACATGCATCGTTTTTCGTTTACCAGGTAACACATTAGTCCATGATGTATTGCTGATAATAAAAGGTTTTACATTTTGATTATTTTTATAATAAACTATTAAATTAATATAAAATTGTTAGTGATATTCATGAAGAATTGAAGAATATTTGCTTAAATTTACAATGCTAATATAATAAACAGCAACGGTGTGTGATTTTGATTCCCACGAAATAAAGATTCGATACCGGTAAACAAACTTATCTCTTGCGCGAAATCGCGTGATCCGCACGGACGTTATTGCGCCACCACCAACAAACGTATTTAATGCAAAACCACGTCATCGTTGCGCCACCTAACCTTTGAAAATATTTATCAGCAAAATATTCCAAAACACATTTATCAAATAAGCAACAAGATTGATATTGCAGTAAGGAGTGAAACAATGAAATTCATACACGAAACAAAACCAGTATTTAATAAATGGCGTTGTTTAATGTTTTGTACGATAAACAATAAATATATCATGTAGTACGGTTACGTATTGCTGTCAATTCGACATCAGTGTGGTTCAATGCACAGATTTCTACTGTATCGACAATGAGAAAAATCACACTAAGAGAAATGTGAAATCGCACCAATGCACAGATAATAAATAATTCATGAAATTCGATTACTAAAATAAACATCCTGTAGATATACTAAGTAAATTATTAACTAAGTAAATTACTTAAAATTTACAATTATAAAACGATGAATTTGCATGAACTAAGTGCAATAGAAGATAAACTGCTAAAAATGTGTTTATGACGTTTGTGCAGCCATTATACATTTCGCATGCTTCCGGTATTCCGCTAATTATCAATTACAAACATTTATTTCATTAATTCATTAATTACGGGTGTAAATCAACAAAAAAAAAGCATTTCGACAGTGTGGAACCGTGAGAAACGCTCTCACATTACCACACGACCATCATAACCTCAAACTTGATATCCACGGATGAATAACTTATTAATTCACACAAGTTTCAGTTTCAAGTTCAACGCAAACAAGTTCTACGAGTAATAACGCAATCGATTCCTGTTTCAGACGACATTTTCTTTTGTTATTCTTATTTCTTATTTATCATTTGCAATTCATAACCTAACCTTTCAACTAGTATACCTAACCACATTTAACACACATTAACATACCTTGTCTCACCGTTGGCTTTCATCGGCACACCTTGCAGCGGTCATCTCGCGTGCGTTGTCTTCTTCTGGGTGAAGAAGAAGAAGTAGTGGTCGCAGTAGGGCAGCGAACTAGCGCTGGCATGCGGCATGGGAACGCATCTCGCTACTCTACTACGGTAAGTGAGATCACAAGATGGTGGTGTAGTGTAGTAACCCCGAACCGCACGCACTCGTCCGTTCTTTTACACAACACGCAGCCTTGAGATGAACCACACACAGGCAAACACAGGAGGCACTTTAAAACCAACCACCAGTTGAGTTACTTGCGTAGAGGTATCCAAATGCTTAAAATTTTGCCTTTTTTCCGAGAATTTCGGCACCACTGGCCTCAAATTTGTCACAAACAAAATTTTTATTTAAACACTACACAACTGTTGTATTTTAAAAGAAAAACACGTTTATTTTATATTATTTAAGTAAAATATATTAATTTCTTTAGGTGTATGTGGATGAATTATAAAATCACGCGTTTTTTTTCGTTACGAATATCTGAATGTGTATAATGTACAACTGCCGACGAACGTGGACACCGCAACTCTGACGACGCCGAGGTGAGCGCGGCGAAACGCGGTGACTCGGAGAGTGTGTTACGTCGGGTGCCCGTTGGAGGGGAACAGGTAGTAAACGAAGCCAACAAACGCAAAAGATACCGAAGAACACAAGAATATTCCAGCCGAGAACAAGCAAACAAAACCAGTCGGTCACAGTTCACAACATAGAAATCTACTATACATAACCAAACTTTACAATATACCTAGCAATACAAGTTGCCTATATCACATACAATATACAAAAACTAATAGAAATTCATTTGTTTCAAGAGAATATAACAAAACATAATCACCTGTTGTGATTAAAACTACATTGCATCTCGTGAAAGTATACTAGATGGAATTTCGAGTGAATTGCCACTGCGCATGCGCAGCTTTGATATCAATCGGAGTCCGGGGACTAAGGTGACCGTAGTCTGAGCCTGTGTATGCATTTTACACCAAGATCAACTTCTTTCTGAGCATGTGTGTGCGCGCACGGCGCGCATTCTCGAAAGTCTCGGAAAGGAGTGGACCCGCCGTGTTCACGCTCATTTTGTGCGTCACACCGTTTACATTTACAGCTACAGTGCACATTGCACACACCACATGATTGTTGGTTGGGCTGGCTTGTGTGATGCTGTGAATGCAACTCTCATCAGCACGACTTCCGTCGACGTTCAACGGTTGCAAACATGTTTACGTGTTTATGTTATGCTCATTTCATTGAGTAAACCAATATCTGAATATCTTATACGTTGGAAATATTGGTTTAGGCGGTTGATTGAAGTTTTGGAACGCGTTCAACTTTCACATGAAACTTTTCAATGTGGGTAAGAAATTTGATCGAAGGGTGACGCGCAGCTTGCGGCGGGCATTTGTTTCCGGTCGATGGACGAGGGGTACGTCATGTGGGGGCACGTGCACATCTGGAATGCAAACAATTCCTCATTTCTCCCTTGTGTATTATCATCACAAACACAATTTGTTTGTATAACGTTTAAAAATGCTTTTTTTTGCGGAAACATCGGTTATTAATGACATACGGCACATGACCAAATTCAATTTGATTTTGGTTAAGTTATGTTCTGTTATAGTTTGTGTATGTAACCATGCATGACGCTTGACATATTTTTAGCGTGCGGCCGAATTACGTAGTTAAATTTAACGGCTTTTCGGTCACAGCGTGAGCAATTCATGGTCGTTGATTGTAATATCGGTTTGCAAGTGTAAGATTGTCGTGTTTTTCACGCTTGGCGACAATCTCGGCCGTACATTGAACACGTCTGACATTAACATGACAATTGACAATCGAATCCGTCTTGAGATATCTCCTGCGTGACGGGTTTACTAATTTACATGGTCATAACCACGTTTTGGTAGCGTACAAGTCAATGTTAACCTTAAATTCAATTTTATTGAGTATTAATTAATTTTTTGAAGTAAAACACTCTGTATCTTCTGCATCACTTGATTAATTTGGTGTTTCTTATAGTCATATGATAGGTAAAGAGATGTATAAAATATGCACAGAATTTCAACTTTTAAAACCTTTTGGAAGTGTCTTAAAATGGCCGCCAAAAAAGGTTTTAATAATATTTTCACAACTTGATGTAAAACACTCTGTATCTCCTGATCCATGTGACATTTTTACTATTTTTTGAAACTTTTACATATACATAACCATGTTTTACTACTACAGCAATCAAAACTAACCTTAAATTTAATATTAATGACTTATAATTTGTTTTTTGAAGGTTGTTTGCTTTATTTCTGAATTTATTTCATGCTATTGCACTTCCAAGCAATAAATTATGTTGTTATTAAACACCGGCACTTCAAACACCTTTTAATCTTGATCAATTAGATCAAATCAAGTTAATATTGCGAATTAAATAATTTTATCGTATTTTGAGGTTATTTATAACTTAGCAAGTATAAAACTCATTCGTATTTGCACATTGTTCAAGATAAATACAAGGTTTGTGCACATTCTGCACATTCTACGCGTGTTCGTGATTAAAATATCACATTACAACACCACTTGTGCTCGACTGAATGCTGAGTACTTGAATTGATTGCTCAACTCATCCAACGCTGGGTGCGTTGCGCGAATTAAAAATTCTAAGGAATTCCATACCGATTCTCCACTCCAATGCCATGCACTGCAGCTTATATTCATAAAATATTTTGCAAGTGATTGAAAAGTCTCATTCTGCGCTCGCGAGACGAAAATGCCTGTGATTTGTAGCGTGGAATGCGCGGAATGTCATATTACTCATATACACGCTCATATTTGAATACAATTAGTGCGTGTGAGCATGTGCGCATGCCCACTAGCGTAGACTATAACCTACACACCGCCCGAATGGTGCTAAAGACTGGTTTGTGGTGAATTTTACACACAAACGCACGGCATGTGGTCAGCCGACAGGTGAATACTGATGAATGGAATATTAGAGGCCATAATATGAATCATTCACGGGTATTTTTACGAATTATGAGCAATATAATCAATAAAACATCGCATAGAAATGAAATATAAAAATTAAATTCAATATTGCCTATGTGGTAATTGGTTATACATTTATGTACACAGCAGTGTGTGATAAAAAAATTGTTTACTGATTATAGGCTCTTATCACACGCAGATTGTTGTTTTAATGTTCATTCATCGTGCACGGATGTGCTAGAAATAATATTTACTTTACTTACGTAAGATAAGTCGGGTTAATTATTTGATTAACTAATAAAAAATCTACTGTAACGTAAATAGAAATTTCACACAAAGATTATGCTAGAATCCGCAATAGAATTTAAGTATAGTTTTTTTTACTTAGTAGTGTTATATGTTCAGAGAATATGTAATTGACTTTTTTATAGTTTTGTTAGTTAGGAAAGCAGAAAAACATTATAGTGTAGGCTTACAAATCATACATAATTCAACGTGGCGGAATGTATGATTTCCTGCCAATTAGTTAGGAATTATTCTGCTGTCCTATATAATGTCCTAGGCAACTCAACATACATGCCACTGCGTGAACTGCGTGAGGATCCATATCAACTTGCTACTTACCTGATCCACATCTTATCTTATGTTTCAGTAGGTAACATAAAACTTTTTTGCCCGTTTTTCTGAGGAATTAATATTTTATCTCTTAAATTTCCATTTTAATTAGCCTATCTTATAGAGAATTTTCCGTAGATTAAGAATCTGCGATTTGTTCCGTTTTCTCTTTTAGCTTACGAAATATTCGCAATAATTAATTAAAAATAATTAATTTTGCTTAATTCTATCGACTTCTATATTTGAAGTTTTGAGTTATGTGTAATAATTGCTATTTGTTTAGATAGTGTGGTGCATGCGCACTTTCGTGTACGTGTAACCCATGGACACGGATATTTAAGTGCGTGACCACTCACTGATACATAAGCAATCGCTCACTGCCTCACACGCACGCCACACTTTTTGAAATGCTTTGTATTTTCGTGTGGTACAACAAAGAGTTTTTAGATGGCGCAACGATGCATGTTTTAACTAAAAATATTCCTGCGAGAAGTCGACCTGCACAGTTGTGATGCCGGCACGCATCTCTTACGAGTACTTCGTGCGGCAAGTAATAATACTCCGGCGGGTATTCGTGTTTCTCGTTGTAAATTCGGTAGATCGCGTTATATTTGATTGAATTTAGTCTTAATTGTCATGTTTAGTCATTCGCTAAATATTTTTCGCGTGTGTAATCTTCGGAAGTCAATATTTTGTGTGTTTATTATATTTCCGCGGGCAATCCGTTGCCGTCGGATGCCGGCCGGCCTTATTGTGTGATTGTAAATAATTGGTATTGCAGTTAATTTTGGACTTGTGCGAACCATTTTTGTCTCCTGCTCAACTCGTCGGCTCAATGTGCTACCTGGTATAAATTTTCATTTAAATAATTGTGGTGAATAAAATGATATTTAAGGCAATCTTTGGGTTCCGCCGGAACGCAGATTCATTTTAACATTGTCCGAAATTGTGTAACTAATGTTTTGTTTCTTCTTTATTTCAGTATCTACTCACATTTGATTTGCGGTGTTCGATACACTGGTAAGTAAAATTGTTCATCATTCATAGTACCTATCTGTTTTCCTGTTTAATTGATTTCTTGCAATTAGAAAATTGATATCTTTTGTGGAAATCTTTTTTTAAGCATTTCGGAGAAAATTTTTAAATTGAAATTCAATTTTTTAATTGCGGATGCTTCATTAAAACTCAAATCATAACTCATAATTTCATGACTTAAATTTTAATTTACTAGCATGAACTAAAAATCATAAAATAGAATTGTATTTGTTTTGAATACCGGTCTATTATCAGCGTTTGTATATAAACAAATTTATCGCATTTGCCGTGCGAGATGCAACGCGTAATATTTTCGTCTATCGTCGCGCTGTCGCACATTTTTATTTAATTCTTATTGCAGGTACTGCGTCTATTGCAATTCGCGTACAAAGGTCACGTGCCATCCACACGCCGACTTGACGCATCTATTTGCTTTACGAAGTATAGATAAAGGAGTCGAACGGTATAGGCTTTTTCGTCGTAGTCATGGTTCACAATTATATACAAAGCTAATGATTCACCTTTCTGCCACTGGGTGCTTGAATCACTAGTGAATCGATGTACGTTGGTTCGTGTTCATAGCAACATTGGAACCGAATTTGTTTACATGACGTTCGTGTGTTTAGATACTTCGTGATTATTATTACACATGAACACGTGTGCTTTGGATTGTGAATGTTTAGTGAATTCAATTAAAATTTACAAATACATTTAACTTTTATATGTATGTATACATTAATTTTGAATTGGAACTATTGATAGTATTATTTTTTTGAACTAATTTATTTATTGAGAAAATTAGTAGTGTTGAAAACATGGGAAGGTGTTGTGCTATTCAGGATGTTTTAGTGGCCGAAGACTAGTGAAGGTAGAAAAAGTAGTTATATTATTCGGTTGAATGTTTTATCTCATTTCACCTGCGTGTTGCAATAGTCCGCGAATTAGGGGGGCCGTATATATTTCACTTAATGGTAATATTGAAAACGGATCATACTGCGAAAAACCTTGGTGAAATGTTCAAATTTTTCTTTGGATTCTACGCACTTTTAAACACGATTTCACAACTTTAACACTCCGAATTTTAATTATGTTCTTGTCTGATTGTATGGAAAGTTTTTCAACCTTAAGTAGATTAATTAGATTAGATTATGAATTTGAAATCCGTTCTGGTCTATCTCTTTTAGTTTACGAGATATTCGCAATTGAAAAAAATCGTCTTCAATTTTTAGCACTTCTAGTCGCGTTTTTGGACTTTTTATCCAACAGAATAAAATTATTTTAAATCTTTACCTAATAGATAATTCTCCAATCTTTCACATTGCGTTGGTCGATATCGCTTTTAGTTTAAATCATATTCTCTATTAAAGTTTATTGAATTGAATATGTCAAAAACATTGCTTTAGTTGAGTCTCTATTGGTGTACCGTAGTAGGGTGGCGGTAGAAGTGACTCCCATTCAGGGCACCGTACGAGGGCAGTGGTAGAAGTGACTCGTGTACAGAGCACCATAGGGGGTAACGGTAGAATAGCTGACTTTCATTCGTCCATTTTTTCTTAGGAAAAAACATTCCAGTATTTCATAATCAGCAATTCGTTGGTTGCTATCTCTTTTAGTTTCAAAGATATTAATTATCGAAAATCCTCGAAAAAAAATATCAAGCAATTGGCAATTTTTTCTTAAGGATTAAAATTTTATCTCTCAGATTTCCGCTTTAACTAGCCTAACTTATAGAAAATAGTCTGTAGATTAAGACGCTGCGATCAGATCTTATTTATCTCTTTTAGTTTACGAGATATTCGCGTTTGAATAAAATGGGCAAAGATTGAAAAATGTCTCTTTTTAGCACTTTTAGTTGCATTTTTTGACTTTTTACTATTGGAAATATTGTTATTTTATATTTTTATCTGATAGAGAATTTTTAGTTTTTTTTAGTATAATACACGAACGCGGTGTCATAGCGAGAAAATTCCGAAACTAGAGTTATTTTGAAAGTTGTGTTAATACACACTAGTACTCGTTGCGCTAGGACTTGTAGTTTTTTTAATTACAACACGCGAATGCGGTGACACCTTAAGTTCGTAATATTTTTTTCAGATGCAGAATTTAATTTTGTATCACCATGTATCAAAACTTATAGCGGGAAAATTCCGTATCGCGAGTTATATTGATAGATGGGTGAGTGCGCCGTAGTACTCGTTGCGCCAAGAATTGCAGTTTTCTTAATATTACACGCGAACGCGGTGACACAATAAGTTCGGACAAGTTTTGCCAGATGCGGAATTTAATTCTGTATCACCCTGCATTCAATTTTATAGCGAAAAAATTCCGTATCGCGAGTTATATTGATAGTTGTGTGAGTGCGCCGTAGTACTCGTTGCGCCAGGAATTGCAGTTTATTTAATATTACACGCGAACGCGGTGACACAAAAAGTTCGGAATAATTTGGCCAGATGCGGAATTTAATTTTGTATCAGCCTGTATCAGAACTTATAGCGAGAAAATTCCGTATCGCGAGTTATATTGATAGTTGTGTGAGTGCGCCGTAGTACTCGTTGCGCCAGGAATTGCAATTTTGTATATTACACGAACAGTGACACAATAGTTCGGAATAACTTTGCCAGATGCGGAATTTAATTCTATATCACCCTGTGTCAAAAACTTATAGCGAAAAATTCCGTATCATGAGGATTATATTGATAGTTGTGTGTGAGTGCACCGTAGTACTCGTTGCGCCAGGAACTTCCGGTTTTCTTAATATAGACGCCGAACGCGGTGACACAATAAGTTCAGATAACTTTTGCAGATGAGAATTTAATTCTAAATCACCCTGTATCAAAACTTATAGCGAAAATTCCGTATCGCGAGTTATATTGTGGATTTGTGTGAGTCGCCGTAGCCTCGTTTTGTGGTTTTAATTGTTTGGCAGGCGGAAACGCAGTAAATGGATAACGTTCTTTCACCGGTATAGATATTTAAATTCTTTATAATTTACGTAATATAATTTGTGGGTTATCCCAAAACCTGCAAATACCCTTTATGTTTTAGTCAGCTAATTTGTGGTTTTAGTGTTTTGCAGAGGGCGAACGCCTTGTCGGAGGATAACCATTCTTTAACAAATTATGAATATTTAAATTCTTTATAATTTACATGTAATTGTGGGTTTATCCAGGAAACCTACAAAAATGCCCTTTTATGTTTTTGGTCGGCTAATTTTGTGGTTTTAGTGTTTGGCGGGCGAAGACGCGCCTTATCGTAGGATAACCGTTCTTTCGCAAATTATAGATATTTAAATTCTTTATAATTTACATGTATAATTTAATGGAGTTTATCCCGGAAAACCTACAAAAATGCTCTTTTATGTTTTTGGTCGGCTAATTTTGTGGTTTTAGTGTTTAGCGGGCGAACGCCTTGTCGTAGGATAACCGTTTCTTTCGCAAATTATAGATTTGAGATTGTTCTTAATGATCTTCATATATAATTGATGGGTTTATCCCTCGGAAACCTACAAAATACTATGTTTTTAGTGGCTAATTTTGTGGTTTTTGTGTGATTCATGAGCGGAAACGCCTTGTCGTGGAGTAACCGTTCTTTCACAAGTATAGATATTTAAATTCTTTTTAATTAACATATATAAATTAGCGGTTTATCCCAGAAACCTAAAAATACCATACACTAAAATGTTTTGGTCGTCGAATTTTGTGGTTTTGAGTGTTTAGCGGGCAAAGCCTGTCGTAGGACATAGTTTCTTTCGCAAATTATAGATACTTAAATTCTTAATGATCTTCATATATAATTGGTGGGTTTTATCCTCGGGAAACCTATAAAAATGTTTTTGTGTTTTGTTGGTCGGCTGTTTTGTGTTTTTGTGTTTGGCGGGCGAACGCCTTGTCGTAGATAACCGTTCTTTCTGGAAATTATAGATAATTTTATTCTTTTAATTAACATGTATAAATTGTGGGTTTATCCCCGGGAAACCTACAAAATGCCGCTTTGTGTTTTTGGTCGTCGAATTTTGTGGTTTTTAGTGTTTTAGCAGGGGTAAAGCCTTGTCGTAGAGACAACCGTTCTTTCACAAATTATAGATACTTAAATTCTTTATGATTTTAATATATAATTAATTGAGTTTTATCCACTCGGAAACCTATAAAATGTTTTTGTGTTTGTTGGTCACAGCTAATTTTTGTGTTTTGTTTTGTACGGCGAACGCAATGTCGTGGGACCGCCATACTTGCACTAGAATTGTACGGTGCAGCGGATAAGTCACTTTACCATACCTTCGCTTTTGATTGCCTAAGTAGGATATTTTATGGATCCTGTAAGAATAAGTAAATTTATATTTATATTTCATTTGCATAAATATTTTTCAATTGGATGAGCTATTCTGAGATGCCCAAGTTTATCAATAAGGGCAAGTGGAAGTTCCGTGGTACTGGTGGGTGCGTATTGACGATGATGTTCTGATTCTGAAGATGGATGTGTTAGCTGGAATAAAATACCAAGAACGTATGTTATATATTGGCAATTTATAGCATTTATGTTTTACTATTCTGTTATTCATTCTGGTTTATAGTGTCTACAACGAAGATTGATTGCTGGTGTTGATGATGATTCCAAATACGATTGAATTCATAAATATTTTGAAGCTGATATTGATATCATTTTTATGTATTTTGTTAAAGTATGAAAAAGATCATTATATAATTGCATATTATTATCCTGTTTTCTTATGCTTGTATTGTTAAAAATGTTGTATATATTAAGAAATTGAGTTTGTGATTCAAATATGTTTGAATAAAACGGTGTTTTTATTTTAACTATAAATTTTATTGTTTTAATTTGTTCCAAGCGTATAAACATAGCTCACAACATCGTTACTCCTTTAATTAATCCATAAATCCCCTAAACATTAATGGAAATGCCACCGCTAGATATGAGAAATAGTTCAAATTCAATTTTATATTGTATCAATATTAATCTAAAAACGGTATCACTAGTGTCATCTATCCACGAGTAACTAAACTACGCCGCTATTCAAGATTTAGCCTACTGCACTTTCTGCGATCCTACATTCAAAAGAATTTTGTTACTAATTTCAATGGATTTCGACAAAATTTGTCGAGAAAATTGCTGAAATGTTGCTGCTCATCAGTCTGTAGTATTAGGAACGCAGAAAAGTAGATATAGACACCCTCGCCACATTATTATTATATATATTATTTCATAATTTGTTTCAAAATCTAACTTTAATTTACTCTCTAAAAAGAGAAATCTTTACCTTTTTTATAACAAAATCTTTCTTAAACACATTTTTGTGCCATTTTTGATGATTTTTCAATAATGATGCCACCTTGTAGAGAATTTTTCAAGGATCAAGATTATGTAGTTCTTAATTTTCTAGCCCTCTTAGTTAAGCCGAGCTCCTTCCAGAATCTGAAAAC